GACCGGGAGAGACCGGCATTTACCGATAGGAGTGATAAAAAGATATATCTATAAATAGGTTTTTGGAATATTTAGGTCATCAACTGATCATTCTAGGATACATGTACAACAATAACATACCATGACATGATAACCGACTGTGTACTTCAAAATGATAAATAAAAAACCCCGAAGAGCGCGATTTATTGACGGAAAAGGTTATTTCATTTGTAAATGTTTGCATTGCGAAAATTCATTCTAACATATCGCGACATTTCATTCTTATTTAATAATCAAGCACCCTCATACCGATCGGAATTTTCGGCTTTTATTATGACCGACTAAAAGGCTCGAGAAGTTGCTGTCGCCCTTTCACAAAATCTGATCTCATTCCATAAGAGCGCCGCGCTTCGGCGCGGACGCCAATTATACAAGCGTAAAATGGCTGCGAAACAATTGTTTGATGGAAAGGCATGAAGAACTGTTATTTAAAAGGCAGCTGTTGAGTTTTACCAAATTGCTTAACAGCGTGTAAAAATAAAAAAAAATGTATTACTATGTTACACCACGAAGTTATAAATTACAATCTGATCTTAACATTTTACTGGGTTAAAGGGGAATCGTTACTATAGTATAATTATAATAGTAAAATATTTCCTTATCACACGGTTTATTTGATTGTAACGGGTCTGATCAAAAACTTTAATGCGTTAAATATAAAAAAATATATATTTCTTCATAACGAACTTGTTTTCTAGTTTTAAGGCAAAAAAAATTAGATGGATAGTTTCAGATATACATTTTGTATTATGAGAATGTAACACATTTTGCGTGTTTGTCCAATACAAAACAGTGCCCCTTTAGTTCAAGACAGGTCAGGTAACAAGATTCTATGCGTCATCATTTCCTGAGCTTTATTGTCTAGTTCCATGATATTTAGTCTCGATTACCTACCCACTATACATGAAAATCTGAAATCGCCCAGTCCATTGGATGTTTACGGACATGAGAAAATACTTTCTTTTCATTTGACAAAAATGAAAAATAAAAATGTTTTGCAACAATGCGAGAAATTTAAAATGTGCCCAAAAGTGTTAAAATTATGTACGAGACATTTTTTATTTACTTGTGTTTTTATTGGGAACTCGCAAAATAAATCGTGTAGTGCCGCAGTAAATCATGTGTGTTATATAAAATCATATAAGACTTGGATGCTTCGCAGCCGAATAAAGGCACTGTGACGCCGCATAGAAGCCCTGCCGCATAAACGGGTTCAAAGTCATTGATGCGGTGATTTTCCTCGCATAATAGTGGTGAACACGTTTATGCGGCTAGGCGCAATGCATAAAGCGAAAATTGCTTTTATGCGGCGCAACAGTGCCTTTTTGCCACATAAAGAGGTTGAACCTGAGTTTATATATTTTCAAGCCAAACAAAGTAAAGTATTAATATTTCAACAACTTTCGATAATAATTTATCCCTTAAACAGGGATTCCATTGTAGACTACCGTAGAACGGTTCTAACGCATTAAAATAAAAGAATCTTATTTTATAATTTTCTTTCATTTACAAAATCGAGTTACTGGTATGCCTAGATATGCCTCTAAAACCTGCGCGCCTGTTCCGACAAATGCGGCGGCAAATTTTCACGATTTAGCGAAATCAATTTCACGACATAATTAAAATTTAGTACACAACGAGCAAACGTGCGTGGCTTGTCATTAACAATTATGCTTTATTTACCAAGAGTCGTGGGCATTTCTAAAAATAGACCAGTGACGTATGATGACGTCACAGGAACAAGCATGGAAATTGACTGAAAATGTTTAACTATTTGCATTTTGCACTGTCATGATCTTTTATGCATCTCTTAAGACTTATTTCCAATTATCTTACTCATTTTATGAAGGTACCATTTTGCATTCACATGCATTTTGCTTTTCCTTGAGTCGTGGCTGACATGTATGTCAACAGTATTGCAAGAAAACATTGGGCAAATCTCAGTGAACTATTTCAAGTTACCTTACAAATTTATTAAACATCATTATATGACTAGAGCATCCTATCTTAAGCGATTTAGAGTCAGATTTGATTAATTTATTCAGTACTAAACAGTACTCAATAAGATCTATTAAAGTTTGTAATCAAACTAAAATAAAACATCAGGGCAACTTTCATTCTGCCTTCAAAATCTTTTATACATTAACAAAATTGTACCAGCAATTGCAAATGATATTTTGATAAAGCAATCTGGTTTTCAAATGTATCCTATTTCGTTAATTCTGCTTTATAAACAAACATATCTAGTTGCAAAAAGAGGGAGATACAACAATTGATTTCAAAATTTTATTCAAGATTGATAAATGATCGATAATAGGTAAAATGATGCCGATGGCCTAGTGTTAGTTTATATTTCAATAAATAGTTCAGTGAGACTTTCTGTGGAGCCCAATTTTGGCGCGAAATTAAGTCGCACCTGTTCCAAACACCGGAAACCAGTAGGTTGTTGTTGTTGTTGTTGTTGTCAAAAAATGTAAATAAACCCTACAAATGGCCAAATGAATCGATTATTACGGTATTTACAAGTTTTTAACAACAAATTATAAGCAATATTAACTTCTCAAATACATTTTTAACCATAAAAAAAGTCATATACGATTTTAACCAACCCACGACTCAAGGAAAACCCACGACTTAAGGAAAAGCAGCCATATCTCTTAAAAATGTTTAAAATGACGTTACGAATGATCATAAATGTCCGTCAGTCCAATAAATGGTAAAAAAATATGTCATACGCCGATTCAATTTTGATTGACACATAAACACGTTGCACATTTACATAACCTTAGAAGGAGATAAATGTTTTTTTTTATTTTTATTTTATTTTTTAACGTCAAAACACACCCGTCACTAATACAAAAACATTTTAATTGTTTTTATGCGGTGACAGGGTATCTTTGTGTCGCATAAAAAGTATTTCTTTAATGCGGAGAAAATCACCGGATAAACGACTTTGAACCAGTTTGGTTTAAACATATTTTATTCTATATATTTACATTATGATGAACAATATTTACACAATACATTTGGGATTGGGCAGAAAGCTATGAAAGCTTATGAGTGTCCTGTCCCAGTTTAAACAATTTACATATATACAGTTCATGGCATTATCATGCACAAAATTCATTTAGTTGAAAATATATCAAAGACATTTTCAAAAAATATGTATTTTGCAATTAATAAATACTTAATATATAGTCATGAGAAAAAAGAAAAAAAGCAAAAGAAAAATGAAACAAAATGGAGGTGAAAAAATAAATTATTGTATGACAGATTAATTTAGTTAGAAGTCGCCGTTTCATTTTCACCTAGGAATGTGCAATCGAAAAGACACTGTTTATTAACGGAGACAAAAGAATGTAATAAGAATCTTAATTGATAGTTATAAAGTACAATTATGTAATTACGAAACAACAAAAAACTACCAGCTAATATTGACAAAAAAAACAAAAAAAATTGAGAAAGAAAAGGAGTGGTGGATGAACAATAATAAAGCAACAGGAGTAAACAAAGATGCATTATATAGTAACTATGTATGTTTAGATGAACAAGCGTAAGTAAGACTTGGGGTACGCGCTAAAAGCGCTTCGTTTCTCGGATGTATTTTTGAACAGCTGTAAAGATAGATACATTAGACTCGTAAGATAAAGAAGTGTTTCCAGTAAGAATGACATTTAAAGAAGGATTACAAAATTGGGAAATAGCCGTTATTAATTCTGGTCGAAGGTTAGTATATTTAGGGCATTCCAAGAAATAGTGATAAGCATTTTCTCTCGGACCACATTCGCAAAATGGAGATTCGATAATATTCTTTTCAAATAGATCGGCAGAAAGCGAACTGCAGTGAGTGCGTAATCTTGTGTGAAAAATTTGAAGTTTGCGATCACCAGAAAGAAAATAAGCAGGCACACTTGGCAAATCATTATTAAGAAGGCGCTTAAAAGAAGCTAAGGTTGGGGCATTTTGCGTTTGAGGTGGAAGAGAATTGAAATCTCTGATAACAGAAGGCAAGAATGATTTATAGTAATAATCTGTATTTGTGTGAATATTCTGTGTGTCGTTTGAGTTCCGGAGTGGGTACCGATGCTCACTACCAACAGACGGAGGGACAAGGTCAGAGAGGTATTGAGGGGTAAGACTTTTTTCATTTTAAAGAAAAGAATCAATTTATGTTTGTAACGCCTTTTTTCCAAGGATTCCCACCCAACTTCTTTCATGAGTTTATCAATAGACACAAGTTTAGTTGTTCCGGTAATTATTCTAGCTGCTTCTTGGTGAATTTGTTTGAGCTCTTTTTTATCATTTTGATTACAATTGTCAAATAATACATCTCCATATTCTATAATCGGTCTAATAAATGATAGGTATATGATTTGTAGTGAATTCCTGTCGAGTTGAAATTTTAGTTTTTTCATGACATTTATTCTTTTCCAAGCTTTATTTTTAATGTATTCAATATGTGTTGACCAACGTAAATCATGAGTAAAAGTAATACCTAAGTGTTTGTGATTACGTACTTCTTTTATTTGTGTGTTTTGCATAAAAATAGGAGGATGATTTATAAGTCTGTTTGTTTTACGCGATATTAATAATGATTCTGTTTTAAGGGGATTGAATTTTACCAACCACCTTTCGGCCCAAGAAGTGGGTTAGTCAAATAAGATTTATATTTTGGCGGGAAGCCCTTCGATTATTTCCGTAAATGTTCGGATCTGAGTCACGTGATATGATTTACCAAACCAAAATAATGGCGGACAATACGAAAGGTGTGGCACGTATACGAGAAATAAATTTTGAGATTGGAAAAGGAAAAAGCGGAAAGTGGGAAGAAACTGTGATTTAATTCAATCAAGGATATACTCCGGTAGTGATTCAAAGCGATGAAAAGTTCTAAAAAGGGTAATTAAAACCAAAAGCGACCGTGAAGTTGTTATCTGATTGACAGGTGAGGTGATCATCGTTTTTGTTTGCATTAATTTTTTCTTGGTCTTAGATCTACTTATAGAAAAAATTCACCTACGAATATATAAACACAGATATTGTGTTATAGTTTTTAGGATGGTTTTGACTTATGATAAAGAAATTAAGCTTGCAGATCCACGTCTGTGTATCAAGTTTTCGTTCACTGTAATTTTCGTACCAATAAATTGATAACAATAACAGGTTAAATAAAAGATCGGCTGAGCCTAATCCTTTACAATTTTAATGCGTATGTTCATTGTAACCATTGTAATTTCAATGACCAATCACTATCTTTTAAGAATCATTTAAGACACAACAAAATTATATTTTGAAAAAAAATTATTTTCCAATCACATTATTGTTTTTTACTGTAAGCTGTACTGTACTATAGTAACTACAATGCTGTGAAATAAATTAGCCACATGTGTCTCAAAAAGGGTTAGAACTATTGACTAGCAGAACAGGCATTTCTTCAAAGCCTGTTCAACTATCAAGGGTAGTCCTATAAATGTGACGTCCTTTGATTTTGAGATATTTTTGCTTTTGGGCAACCTTGACCGACATTTAAGCAATAACAAGCCCGTAAGTCTGATATATTGATCTACTATCCAGGGTTGTTGAATCTTCTAAGAAATAAAGTAGAAAAACTTAAATGTTGTCTGGAAAATCGCACAAAAATCAATATTTTTGTCTCATTTGAATCATTTTTGCAGTAAAATTTCAGCATTTCACAATTTGAAAAATAATCATGGACAATAACCATAATTGTGCTGGGAACGTTAGATAATTCTTATTGACAACCCTTCTTCCTTATAAGCAGTGCAGCAATTCATGTATGATGTATTGTAATTGGTTTGAATAGTCAAGATTTTAGGCCATGGTACTAGTATGCTATATTTTCAATTACAGAAATAAGTCAATTTCAATCATCATCATCATGTGTTGCAATACCACTACCAGGGACATCAAAGATGACCTGGACTTCAGTGCATATGCAGAGGAGAGTAAGTACACCATTTTTGTCGTAAGTGACAGGTTATAATAATACCTTTCAAAATTGCTATATAACTATATACTTGCATAACTAATTTACTTATATAATTCATATAAAAACTGATTAATCTTAAATGCTGCTGAATTCATGTTTTTTTATTAGTTTATTGAACCAATTAATGGATATATACATGTCAACATGTGATCCATGTATATCATGATCAGATATTCATATGATTTAAATATTAAACAATTATAACATTTTTTAAGTGGCATATAATACTGTATTAGAAGAAGAAAAAAAAACATGCATTACATGGTTAATTTTGGTCCAATTGAAAGATTTTGGTGTCATCTTAAATGATGAGTTTGATATTTGTATGACTCCATAATATTATTATAGGTAATTGTTCACTGAGGTGAAAAATGATAGAGGGTCATTATACTGTAGGTCTTAAATCCACTTGTGAAAAAATATATATGAGCCGCGTCACGACAAAACCAACATAATGGTTTTGCGACCAGCATGGATCCAGATCAGCCTGCGCATCCGCGCTGTCTGATCAGGATCCATGCTGTTCGCTTTATACAAACCCTATAACAAGTAGAGAAACTGATATCGAACAGCATGGATCCTGATCAGACTGCGCGGATGCGCAGGCTGGTCCTGATCCATCCCATGCTGGTCGCAATGGCACTATTTTGGTTTTGTCGTGATGCGGCTCATATATGGTTTTTGGAAAGGATTCTGTTATGTAGTCAATTCTCAGACCATACAACAAAATAGTTACAGACTCCTAAAAAGTGGAGTATACTTTCTTAGTTACAATCAAACATCATAAATAACTAATTTCTAGCTTTTTTTTTTCAAAGCTATTACATTCTATGTCAGATTGCTATGTTGGCATACAATTGCATTATTTAAATATTTTGAAATGTATCAACATGAAACTTGAAAGACTTGCTTATCAGGACAAAGTGTAATTGTTAAACAGGGGAGCATACATGTTCTTATGAAAGCAGTCATTGAATTTAGCACTGGCCCATGGCCAGTGAAAATTAGTTTGGGCCAGTGTAAATTTTAAGAAAATGTAGTTAAATATATAGTAGAATAAATTCAAAATGGGAATTGGGGCCAGTGAATTCAAAATCTTAAATTCAATGACTGTGAAAGCAATATTTTTTTAAGTTATATCCCTTTTAAACTAAGAATTTTTAATAGACTGGTGTTATCACTGCATGCAATACTGCTGTATTTGTTGTTAATAACAAGGGCAGATTCATGTCCTATAGTAAATGTTGGTGAAGACTGAATATATACAATTCTTATGTAGAATAATTTATTATATTTTTCGCTAAAATGAAAAGGAATTCCACAATTGATTTTTTTTCTTCAAAATCTTAAGCAAGTTATGGTTTAATCTTCAGGTAGCACTAAAGAAAGCCAATTAAATCCTTTTGGAGTTGAATTGAGACACAACCATTCATTTCTGGTTTAGTTATAAAACTGCTACAGACTATAAACTATTCATGGTAAGTAAACAATTATTACATTGTATATATTTGATTTTGTTTGAATGTTTGATATTTTTATATGATAATTCTGTTGCTCAAGAAATATTTAGATAAAATTCTAGATAGCAATACATAATTGTCATTTGTTGCAAGAAAATTAATGCATGCAAGATGTTTTGATGCATAATGTGGAATACTTCATAGGTTTATGGTAAGCATTTTATATGTAAAATAAATGTGAAATGCTAAGTAATGTTTCATAAAATTGTTGAAGGCTGACTTCTTTGCCATTTTTTAATGCATGCTTATTTGTCTTGATATTTTATTTCAGGGAATAATATATTTTAGTGTCTGCATCAATCTTATAGTTATTGAGCATGAATGGATTCTGTTTTCAGATGATGGAATACACCAATGCCTAGTACAATCATAGCCCATTAGAAACCAGAACAAACCATGGCTGCAAAGGAAATAAGATGCACATAGTCTGAAAAATCTGGCTGGTGTTCTGAATAAGATGACATAATATCTCAACTGCAGGTATGTTCTCATAAGGTACAATAAAAGAAATTTATATTGACAGGGTTCCCCCTGGAGCAATTTTAGTTTGCACCACCAGATTGGCCAATCAAAAAAGTTGAAGCCAATGGCTCCAATGTTGGAACCATTAATTCTGCAAAGGAGATATGTCTATCTTTGTTAAGATATGCTAGCAGTTTGGAGTGAAATTTTTAAAAGGATTTATTTTCCTAACTGGAAAGGAGTATATGTCCTGATTAATACAAAGCTCATAATCATATGTCTATTGATTATAGAATGTTCAATGTTTACAGCACCTTTATATGTTAACGCAAATGGACCTACAACCATTATGTGTAAATTAATTGACACCTTTATTGCACTTATCAATTGAAGGATAGAGCTGTGTAAAATCTTTTCAAAGATAATTATTTACATACATAGATTCTAGCATATGAATATGTTAATGTTAAGGGATTTTTCGTTACTAAAATCATTTAAATGAAAATATCTTTCCATTATTTGTATTCATTTTTAGAAGTACAGCTGGCATGGAGGGGTTTCACCAGCACATCTTGATGTATTGTACCAAAAGATTTGCTTACACACCACATGTTTATAGGATGCACAATCTTCTTGCAGCCATAGATTATAATATACATGGAAATAGACCATACATCACCAACAAGGGGGATCTGTTAGGTATGCTACTTACAAAACTCCAACATGTAATGTTTCACAATTTTACAGAATGAAAGAAAACAGTGTCCAGTTTGTGTTAATAAAGTGAATTGTTTGGAACTATAATAATGTTCAACATAGATGTCCTCTGTACTGAGTCTAATATGGATGTAGCATGTTTCTTTGTTTATTTCAATAGAAAGATTTCAGTTCTTCAAACATATAAAGAGGCAAAACCTAAATAAAATGTTTAGCTTTATCTTCTTTGGGCATATAGATTCTCAACATTTGTTTTGTCATTTTTGCATATGAATATAAATGCTGCATATCTTAGTATTAAATGTTCCTGCCTCTATGAATTATAAGATATTTTTATTGAAAGTGTGATCACTATGCATTTATATTGCCTATATAATATTAATTTCAATCAAAAGAGATTTTGCAGTCTCTGAATAACCTGACTAATAAATTTTGAGGACATAATTACATGTAATGCATTTTGAGAATTGTATACACTTATGATTTTTGTTATAACAGGCTTGTTAATCTCCATTTCAGACTTCAGCGAGTCTGGATGAATTAAAGAAGAAGAAAAAGTATCATTATACCATTTTTCATGATGCTATAACTCTGAGAATTAGTGACATGGAGGGGATATATAAAATAGAAAGTTAGAGGAAGATGACCCCCACAGACTTTCAAAATATTTGGCCCAAGTTAGCCCGAAGCCTACCCGAGCCATTCATGAGGAACATAAATCAAGATATGATTGACTTTTTATGGAAAAGAATGATAAATAGTGTGTTACACTGATTGCCCAAATATTCAAACATATTTAAGATGACATTGACCTGGTATTCATGATAGTTTTATGAACTATCTTTCTAGATATGGCACTGTACCTATCTTGTTTCGAAAAAAATTCTCTTGATTCATTTGTCATGACTCAAGGTCTGTTTTTAATATTTTGTCAGAAAAATGACTACCGTACTTTTTATACAAGTGCAAAATATTATCCAATCTATTAAACTATAAGTGCTGCTATGAGCTTTAATGTAGTAACAAAGTTAAAAGTATTATTCAATTATATATTTTGATATACATGTACTATGTCATTCACTTTAGCTCAGCTTTTTTTTTTTTTTTTTTTTTTTTTTTGAAATAGAGGTTGCTGCCGTTGCCTTCTGCAAACTTGAACCTTGTTCATAACTTTTAAAGTTCTTGGTGTATTGTCTAACCTTGGCCTTCATTCAAAATTGACCTTGACCTTCAAGGTTAAATGTCTAAATTTTGGCTTTGCTTGTTATTTGCTATTAGTGGCTTTAACTTTATTGCCCTGTGTTAATTTTCATATTTTATTTTTGTCTTGGCCATTTCTCCTAAACTATATTGTTTAACAAGGCAACACATGATTCGCGGAGATCTAGTTGTTATTAGTCCAGGAATTGTTTGTTGTCCAATCTAGTTTATTAGACCAATGACATAGGGGCATTTTATATAAAATCCTTGTTCAATCAAACAAGGCAAGCCTTAAAATTATCTTTGTATTTACTCCCTCATCCCATTCCAGTTTAGATAGGTTAGGTGGGCTGATAAAATATTTATTTTTGTGCCCCCACTTTAGTGGCGGGCATTTAAATTTACCCCTGTCTGTCCGTCCGTATTTCACCAAGAGTCATGAAACTTTACTGTAATGTTGATCAGCAAGTGTAGTTGTTCACCTTGGTATTTTCATCTGGATATTTTTAGTATTATCAGAGTTACTGCCATTGAATTTTTGCAATTTTCAACTTGTGTCGCATGCTACTCAGGAAGTATTTGACCTACAGCAATGAAACTTTACAGGAATGTTGAACATTATGTGTAGTTGTGCACCTGGATATTTTCGTCTGGATTTAGTATTTTGAGAGTTATGGCCCTTGACTTAGTAAAATTTTGCAATTTTCAACTTGTGTCGCATGTAACTCAAAAAGTATTTGACTTAGAGTCATGAAACTTTACAGGAATGTTGATCAGCATGTGTAGTTGCGCATCTGGGTATTTTCGTCTGGAATTATTTCTGATTTTTAGAGTTATTGCCCTTGACTTTGTTAAATTTTGCAGTTTTCAACTTGTGTCACATGTAACTCAAAAAGGATTTGACATAGAGTCATTAAACCTTACGGGACGGTTGCTCAGCATATTTAGTTTTGCACCTGGGGTTTGGCTTGTGGATTTATCCAGTATTTGTAGAGTTATTTCCCTTGGCTTAGTAAAAAACGTTTCATTATGTTGTTATTTGTTCCTTGAGTGCTTGAGTGAGAATCAACCAACTTTACAGGAATAATGATCAACATCACTAAATTACAGGAATAATGATTTACATCACTTTGAAGCTATGAACCTGGGACTTTTATGTGGATTTTTTTCAGTTTTGTTAAAGTTATTGCCCTTGACTTACAGTAGTATAAATTTACAATTTTTAACTTGTTCATGCATAGCTAAAAAAATATTTATGTTTTCTTTCATTTCATTCAGCCAAACATAAATAATTTATCATTTAACTCCATAATTAATATCATACAGGGATAAAATATAAATAAGAAAGACAATATAGGAGTGGCTACTACAGGTTCACTTTAATTTACCGAATAATTTACAATTTTCAACTTGTTCATGCATAGCTCAAAAAGTATATCACTTGTAGGCCTGAATGTTTAAAAGAATGTTGGTCAGCATGTGTACTTATGCACCTTGGGGTTTACTTGTGAATTTATTCAGTATTTGTAAAGTTCTCGCCCTTTACTTAGTAAAAGATTTTTAGTTTTCAAAAAATATTTGACCTAGAGTCATAAGATTGACAGAACAGTGGCGCATAGGGGCGGGACCCGTGTCCTATGGACACATTCCTAGTTATTCAAAATGTTTGTCTTGTTTTATTTTTCATTAAAATTATATGTAGTTCAAACAAATTGTGAATGCATGAAAGCATCTGTTTTACTTGAAAATTTAGAACCATATTTTCAGTTTCAATCAACAAATATCCCAACATTTGTATATTTACAATTAAATAATCACGAGACAGTTAAAGAGATGTCATTCTCATTGACACTCTGATTTCATTTAAGTAAACAAATCCTGGGCAATAAGATATTTTAGGTAGCTGTGCTATTTGTGGGTAGGTCGCGGGAGTGGGGAACAAACAATATTTTACATTCAGGGGTACTTGTAAGCCTAAGTTTTTAGGCTTGGTAGGAACATTGCCCTTCCCCAGATAATGGCACCAACTGATTTTGAGGTAATTAGATTTAAAGCTCAAGATGGCATAAAGTTTAACTTCCTTTAAATATGTGTAACAGTGTAAGGTATAGTTTATGTAACTCAGAAGGAAAAATTCTGATTGCCATTAGTTTTAAGATTGGTCCATTTGATTATAAGTTCAAGGTCTCAGTGACATGTAAACTCATTGTCCCAAGGTTTTGAACAATTCCAGGGACATTGCTTAGATTAGTAATTAAGCATTAGTTTGGAGTTAATAAGGTCTAAGGTCACAATGGCTTAAGCATAATATCCTTCATCACAAGAAACCCATAAGGGGTTAGCTCAAGTTCATACAATTTGGTTGGAATTAAGATATCATTTATTTCCTTCTACAATATTGGCCATCTTCACACTTTCTCTTCCTGTTAAGACAACATGGATTGAATAAAAAATAAAACTATAACTGTAAAGAAGTCACTGGTGTACAATTTTAAGAGTAAGAAAAAGAAGATATGCTGTTCATTTGAAAATATTTTATTGTTGTTTTACTGCCAATGTTCAAATACATGTTTTAATTTATCTGTGTTTTTGTTATTTTAACAACATTCCAAAATGTGTCCTGAAACGTGCTAAAAGAAGTGGAGTGTAAATTAACATTGAAAGGTATTAGTAAAACATTGTTACAATCTGTGATCTTATTTGAATTTTAAAAAAGTACATTTGACATCAGAAAATAGAGAAATAAAGAATTCCTGCAGAAAACCCAAAATGACAAATTTGAAACTGTTGCAGGCTCTATTTGGTGAGCCTGTTGGAAAGTGCAAGTTACCTTCCATGTCCCCCTAGCATCAGCTTTAGCAGAATTCAACATTTGAACATAAAGTGGTGAAATTTATGGTTTTATGCCATACCGGTGTACATAATCCAGAGATTAGGATTTAATTCTTGGCAATCTTATTTTCAGTGGAATGTAACTGTTCATTGTTAATAGAATAATATTTACACAGGTTGCACTGTGTTTGTATTGGAATGAAATTCTCATTAGTACATTATTCTCCATAATGTGCACTTTTACAAAAGGCTAACATAAAAATCAGGTCTTGAGTGATCATTTTCAAAATTATAGGCATCAGAACTTTAACTTGGTCCTTTTTCCATTCTTGTTTTCTTATAAATTGAAGTATAATTATACATTATCATATATCAAACGGTTGAGTCTGTAGATGTTAAATTAATATGTATTGGCTTTTGCATGCAGTTGACTGGTTATTTAATCTGGTAACACCCTATACAGGTTATTACACCAGATTGCCAAATTATATTTCTTTTCATTATAATTTCCTAACACAGACACTTTGGTTTGGAGCTCAAAACGCCTTTAAAATCCACAAAAAAAAACCTTAATATAAGCCGTTTTGAAAAAAAAATCATATTTCAACATCTATAATATAATACAGATTGAGCACCAAAGCCCAAGTGTCTGTGTTTCATAATATTTACATGACGCACACTACTGTATGCCATATTACTACGATGGAAGCTTGGCAATAGGTACGTATTATTTCTGGTACGAACCGATCATAAAGAACGGCTAATTTACCGATTTCAAATAACCACAGCAACCGTACGACATAGACATGACCAACGCTCCATCTTCTTGTTTACTGTAGTTCTAGTGAGAGTCTCAGACTTTGTTCTTTTTCCGAATGTTTCGTAACGCGTTACGAGGATATAAGCTACATTCCTTAGCTAATAAATAGCTTTTCATATCGTTTATTAATTACAAAACATAAAATAAAATTGCATCCGTCATTTATATTATATCTCCTAATATCGGGGTCGCAAGTTTGTTGACGTTTCTAATTATAGCGTTTCCGAACTTGTTTCTAATTATAGCATTTCCGAACTTATCCGTATGCAAATGAGTTAATTCCGAATGAAACCGATCGGGCCCGAGAGCTTTTACAAATGGCGGGGATTTCAAAAACTGGCGATATTATATCCAGTGGCATCCGAGTGTTTCGGCGAAATAAGATTAAAATTGAATAGCAGTTCATCATTAATGAGGATATACTTATGATTTAGGTGATAATTTCTGAAAACTAAGTTGTAGGGTAAAATATCATCGTTGAACGGTATTATAACTTTAAAGTAAATTAGGAGGCAGAAAAATACCAAGGGTCCAACCGGGTTTTGAACCACAGACCTCTTTGTCCGTAGACGGACACCTCAACCACGTCGTTAAAGGTTTAATCTAACAGCAAGGCTGATGGAAGTGCCCTTTATACCTACAACCACTACACTCCTCCCCTTTTTACTTTTCAGAGCTAGCCAGCTCTCCTGAATGACACTCCCTGCTTACCGCATGAGTCTGTCAAACACTTCTGACACCATTAAAGTAAATTAGGAGGCAGAAAAATACCAAGGGTCCAACCGGGTTTTGAACAACAGACCTCTTGGTCCGTAGGCGGACACCTCAACCACATCGCTAAAGGGTAACCCAACAGCAAGGCTGTTGGAAGTGGCCTATATACCACTGCACTATATTGTGTTTGACCTCCAGAACGGCAACTATTTCGGCAACTGAATAATTTTTTGACCAATATAGTTGTAATAGGTGTACCATTTTTATTTTAATGCTATAAGCAGTGAATAATAAGTAGTTAGCCGTAAGCAGTTGACAGTAAGCAGTTGACAGTAAGCAATAGGCAGTCAACATTTGGCAATTCCATAGTATATTGATTCATTAATGTTCCCAAAGAAATATTGAGATAAATATAAAAATTTGTGAAAGTATAACAATTCTGTCATAAACCTAAATCAATACACCGCATAGTTACGAATATCGATCAACAGATCAATTGGGTATTATTTATTACTTACATGTAGTCAGATTATGAACAGGTATAATTTAA